GGTCGAGCAGATCACAATACACAGGCGGGTGTCGGCCAAGGATCAGGTCGCAACCAAATTCATCACGATGAGATTGTGCAAAACACGGATATCGACGCTGCGACCTCTCGACAAAGCGCCGTAGATGCTGGGTACCTCGAAGACCCATTCTCTGCGCTATTGCACACTGGGGGTCCTGTCTCAAGACGATTACCACTCATGAATAGAGGTAGGTCTCTGGCTGCGAACATGGTCCATGTCCTCAATTTACCGGCTACAGGAACTTATGTCAGGACGATGAGCATTGACCGCATCGTCGACACTTTCCTATCTTCGGCAGGAGAGGGGCGCAAGCAGATCATCTCCTTAGGAGCCGGCAGTGACACCCGATATTTTCGCTTGAGGCAGAAACGCCGGAAAGGTGACGTGGTCTACCACGAACTCGACTTCGAAGCCAACACAAGGCGAAAGATCACCCAACTGCGCAGCCCAAGCTTCGAAGCCGCGGCCAAGCAATTGGCTGAGGTAGATACGCGAGGAGCAGACGTGCAGGTTTCCCACGACGCGGCTGCGTTGGTCTCCTCTGACTACCTCGTCCATCCTCAGGACCTCCGATATCTCCCACAGAAGGAAGGATTGCTAACTGGCATGGACATCACTCTTCCCACCTTGATAATTTCAGAATGCTGTCTCGTCTACTTGCCACCTGAGGGTGCCGACGCGGTACTGAATTACTTCTCAAAGCTATTTCCGGAAACGACACCTCTAGCCATCGCTATCTATGAGCCTATCCGTCCACATGACCCGTTCGGTAAGACCATGGTAAGCAATCTGATGGGTCGAGGGATACAACTGCAGACTCTGGAGAAGTATGCTGGTCTGGAGGAGCAGAGAAGACGGCTGAGAACATTTGGGTATGGGGAAGGCTCTGGCGGAGGTGCACAGGCCGCGGACATAGACTTCATTTGGCAAAGATGGATAACACTGGAGGAAAAGGAACGCGTTGAAGGCTTGGAGTGGATGGATGAGGTGGAGGAATTCGTCCTTCTTGCCAAACACTATTGCATCTGCTGGGGTTGGAAAGCGTTTGAAGAGGAGTCCCCTTGGAAGGATTTACCCGCGCCGACGTCTTAAGTGGACGTGTTGATCACATTTCTGCTCGAGATCACTCGATTCTATGAAGGACTGATGTCATTGAATCCATGACGAATACCCAAAGCAGAGCATTTAGTCGTATGTACTCAATATACCTTGGTGTAGAGTTTCCAATGGATGGGGCGCAAACAAGTGTCTATCACGTGCACCTCCACTTCCAAACTGCGGCCTCGGCACTTGCCTGCGCTCCTCATCAACTTACCATCCCCAAATCGTTGTGGTTGTCCAAAATATTTCTGAGATCGACATACCGCGATAGCGCCCATTCCACTGATGGACAGCCCTCTGGCCCTCGAAAACTACCTACCTACATATGAGACTCACTCCACAGACGCTGGCTGGAACGACAAGCCGTGGCGTAACTCGCTCCAATTTTAATCCCCGCCCCAGCAACAATCAACCAAAACAATCAGTGTTTCTGTGCGAGGAAACTTATCAACCCTGTGGGTCAACGAATTTCTGTACCTACTTGTTAGGTAGAACGAGCACCAAAGTCAAACGGTGCCTAGGTCACTAGTTGTAACAGTTGTTTCCAACGAAGTTCCTACAACAAGTGATGCAAGATTCCCGCGACTGTTCTCGCCCCCTGAGCAAGGACTTTACTCCTCGAATCTGGACCGAGGAAAAGAGTGTCCAATAATGACTGCAGGAATCAACGAGATTGCCAGCCAACATTCCTGGCAAAACGAAGTCGCATCGCACAGCAACGACCCTGTAGGCGAAATGTGCCTCTGGTTGATTTCCCCATGACGATTCGATAAGACAGATCACTCCCAGGCATTCACCTCGAGTCGGAGGATTTCTGATTCGTGCCGTGAGATTGACAATGCTCCTAAGTGGACTGGGGGGAACGCGATGTGAGGGTTGGCGCCCTGACCTTTCCCCATTCACAAAACAAACAGTCTAAATGTGGGCCTACTCCAAACTATCTGGGCCTGTCCTGTGGGCCAGCAATGCGCCAGCCTTGCATGGCTTCAGAGTGGCTCTGCCCCGGGCCAGGCCAGCGTCACGGGCAATTTGCCTTTCTGGAGCTTGATCTACATCTCATTTGCCGCATCGACATAGCTTGGACTTCTTTCTCGTTGTCTACTTGTATTGTATCCTTTTTTTTGCTTTTGTGTCTGCGCTCGTCGTCGTTGGGGTCGTTGTTCGTCGTCTTTCGCTATCGCGCGCTCTGCGAGCACTCACGTTCCTTACCAAAACAACTGACCCCTAGTCACTCATTTACGAGTCCTTATCGGCGCTGGCGAAAGCTCTCGAGGTGTCGCAAGGCGATGCTCATGCGTGAATAATTATAGCAGACGATCTCGCTGAACGCGAACCAACCATGCGCAAACGGACAATTACCTCGAGCGCAAGCGCTCTACTATTTCTCATCGCTTCTCTCGTCAGCGCGAAACACAATGGAGTTCATGAACACCTCGAAGCCCTTCACAAACGGCATCGCGCAACTCGCGAGCTAGCCGCCAGGTCAACAGCTGAGGATGGAGAACAAGGGGTGGAAGTAAGATCAATTCCAGAGAGTGCAACATCTGCGATCAGTTTGGAAAAGCGACAGGCGCAATGTGCTTTTCCCACGGACGCTGGTTTGGTCCCAGTTACTCCAGGGAATAAGAATGGCGGATGGGCTATGAGCCCGGACCAGCCCTGCACGCCAGGAAACTACTGCCCTTACGCTTGTCCTGCTGGTCAAGTGTCGGTGCAATGGGATCCGAGCGCGACATCCTACTCATACCCCAAGTCAATGGTTAGTTGCTCCTTCTGGGATGAGAGCGAATTGTGCTGACCGGACTCAGAATGGTGGCTTGTTCTGCGATCAGAACGGCAACATACAGAAACCATTTCCCAACAAACCCTACTGTCAGGCTACTAGTTCCAACATCGGCGTCCAGAACAATGCAGGTGGCGTCGTAGCATTCTGCCAGACTGTGCTTCCTGGAAATGAAGCTATGCTGATTCCCACCTCCGTCACCGACTATGCAACTCTCGCCGTACCCGATCCCAGCTACTGGTGTGAAACTGCAGCGCATTATTATATCAACCCGCCTGGTATCAGCACAGATCAAGCTTGCGTGTGGGGTACCAATAATGATCCCTGGGGCAATTGGTCTCCATACGTCGCCGGAGCCAACGCGGATTCCTCAGGGAACACATTCATCAAGCTCGGGTGGAATCCCATCTACCTTGAACCAACTACACCTTTCCGCAACCAAATGCCAGATTGGGGTGTCAAAATCGATTGTCCCAATGGCGGATGCACAGGTCTACCGTGCGAAATCGATCCGACTCAAAACAAGGTCAATGGAATGGTTGGTTCGTCAAGCACGGGAGCAGGAGGTGGTGCCTTTTGCGTGGTGACAGTTGCGAAGGGCTCTACCGCCAACTTTGTAGTCTTCAATGCGGGAGGTGACACCAGTGGCAGTAACAGCCATGGAGGCTCGGGCTGGTCATCTACTCCTTCGGGTGGCAACAATGCCGGACAATTCTTCCAAACTACTAGCTCCTGGCAATCACCGACAGATTCTCAATCGTCCTCATCTAGCGAAGCATCGACCTCTTCAATCGCATCTTCTACAGGCTCCTGGACTTATCAATCGGTTGTAACGACAAGCTCTGCTCCTACGGCATCGGCTTCGACCGGACATAGCACAACCATCGGCGGCTCTTATGGACTGCCCACTCACTCTCCGTATTACTCGTTGTTCAACCACACCACCTACGCGGCTCCCACAGAAGGAGCTACTGGAGGAGCCATCGAAACCACCGTTGAAGCTACGGCAATCCCTTCAGGTCCAGCCTCGTCAACCGTCGCTCCTATCTTGCCTGCCACTGGTGGCTCCTCGACGATCAAACTCTCTCTTGCTAGCCTCTTCTCGGCCTTAGCAGTATACGCAGCCGTCATAGTATGACACCCACGCGCTCTCCAACGTTCTGTGGTTTGATCTCGCACGGGCAAGAGAGCTCCGGGTCATTCTATGGAACCTGAACACTAGTGCAGCTGGTCTTGCAGACCTGATTCCGACCATCGACTCGGCTGGACGATCTGACCACATCTCTTCACTTCTTCCTGGAACTTTTCGACTGAAACTTTGCTGCTTTTTTCGCAAGGAGAACATATTTTCATGTCCGTATCATTCTGGTAATGCCGGCAAAGGGGCGTCGCATTGGGATTGCTGCCTGCTCGCCCGGGACATTTTTTTGTTGATAGTGCCGCAACCTCAGAGTATCTACGGTTTGGAGACCCTGTTCTAACGATGTCCACGTCTGTTTGCTGCGAGTTCATGTTGGGACATAAGTATCGAGGCGGGCTTTGAGGAAGAGTTGATCGTCCGAGATTAGCACTTGGCAGGTGAGAATATCAAACGTTTGACGTTTGACGTTTGGCTATGTGGGCTGGGGAGGGGGGGGTACATAGTTGATTTCCAATCAGATCTGTTTGATACCCGTGTTACTCGCGAACAACGAACATTCTACCGAGTAGTTGAACATCCACCACGGGATTGGTGCACCCAGTAGGTGTCTATGAAAACTGTCATCGTCCTCAGGGGAGACTACTAGGTAGATTCATACTGAAAATACTTGGATATAACCCATCTTATCTCTCAGGAACGCCAGGCCGGCCTGAAGGAAGATAGGGAAAGTCTTGTTTTCTTCTCGCGGAGAATATCAACTTGGATTGTTTCACTTTTCACGTATAAAGACCAAATTGCCTAGCTCCCCCTATTATAAAGGTTTCCAAGGAAATGAGAAGTAATTAATGTTCAGAAAAAACTCAGTTGCTTCGGTATTTCTATGTGTTAAGGCTCCATTTAATTTGTGTAATTTGAATCCCAGAGAGAAAAAAGGCAACCCACTGCTTTGCCAGGCTAGAGACCAGATAGGCCGTTTGTCAACGGCAAATCCACACACTCGCTGATCGCTCCTCCAGTCACCGACTGCTCGAGAGTACCCTGCTTCAATATGTCCAATCCCGCATCAAAGTCCTGGACAACAAAGACTTTACTGGGGGTGCTGCCATCCGCGTAATTGCACAGCACGGTCCAGTACTCGTTGCCTTGGGTGTCCATGGCCACAAAGACGCTGTCGAGCGCTCCATCATTCGTGCCATCGTCGACGAGGAACGGTACCAATCCAACAATCTCAGAGGAGATGGGGATGTGCTCGGAATCGCCAAGGCGGAGGCGCGAGACGCCGTAGTTGGTCATCTCCGGTGAGTAGTAGAACAGGGTGCGACCTTGACTGTCGCCCACGATGACTTCGTCAAACACCTGGAACAAAGCACTACCGTAGGTTTCGGAGTTAATGTCCTGAATGCGCAGATTACCGTCGTCGTCAGCCGCAAGGTTGTATTGTAGTCCTATATCGGAGATGATAGTGTAGTTGTAGTCCGGTCCAGACTGCACTGAATCCTCGAGGTCTAGCGGTGTCGTGAAGTTGGACGACGTATCATCCAAGAAATCCGAGACCTGGGAAGGGAAGTTGTACTCGTCTGAGTCGTCAACGCCGTCACCATCTCCGTCAACCGCAATGTCGATGTCCGGGAAAGGATCAGTGCCGGCTGCGTACTGGGACAGCGTCAGCAGCGAATCGCTGTCGTAATCGTAGCTGCCCTCAATAGTAGTTGTGTTATCAGATTGACGCTTCTTGATTCCCGAGAGAGTCAAGCATTTGGTCGCCAAATTGAGTTTATATGGGCTTAGCAACTGTTTATCCTTGGTCTTATACTTCTCCTTCCCGAAGAGTTTGGCCACCGCATTTGCCTTGAGCTCGTGCTGCAGGTTGATGTAGAAGTTGATGCCAGTGCAAGTCTTGTTCGTTGAAGCACCGTTAGTGGCTCCGTTGGCCGTAGAGTTGACACCGCCGGAAAAGGTGCCGTTGGAGAGACTGACTTCGGCTTGGAAGGTTGCACCGGCGTGCAGCGACGGGACACTGGTGACGGCAACCTCGGCAGTGAACTTGGCGTTGGCAATGTCCAGACCAAATGCTAGACCGATCGGGAGCGCAACGTAGGTATCCATGATGATCTCGCCCTTGGCTTTGAAGGTTGGCTCGAATTGTGGTTGCCAGGTCGGTGTCTGTGAATTGCCAGAGTTTACCAGGTCTATGACTGCACGAGCATTGGCAACCTTTACTGTGCCGCCCACGAGGATTTGACCGGTAGCGTTGAACGTAAAACCAGCTTCGGCATCGAGGGTGATGTATGGTCCAATAGTGATGATGTTAGGGACTGAGAGACCTGGAATACCCTGAGTGAAAAGTCGCACGCTCTTTTTGTCGGCATAGTTGACCTCAGCCGCTACGCCCAAGTTGACGCCTGCTTCCAGATTTCCCAACATCTCAAGTTGGCCCATGGTTAGGCCCTTGGTGATATGGAAAGCCGCGCGACCTGCCACCTTCAAGGTTCCCGTTACTCCGCAAGAAACACAGTAGACGTGGAAGTGATCATTCTCCCAGATCTTGATGGCATTGAGTGGTTTGTCGCTGTCATCTTTGAAAAAGTCCTGCTGCACGTACTTGACCTGAGTCGCGTTGGGGATGGTAAAGGTTTTGTTCAATTGGTATTCGTGAGGGCTGCCATCCACCCACGATTTGATGTCAGATGCCTTGGAGACAACCTTTTTGGCAAAGCCGACAATCTTGTCCTTGAATGATGACTTCTTCTTGGCACCTTGATCTTTGGATGCCTGCCTCAGTCGTTAGTCTATGCAAGGGGCTTGTCTCGGTGTTTCTGGGTTCTGAACTTACAACTGCGCCCTTTTTGCGAATATCTGAAACGACAGCGTTACTTCGACTTCGCGTGGTGGTGGCACGCTTTCTAAGGGACCTCTTCTTGGAGCTTTGTTCAAAAAAGTCCCCGTCATCGGTGTAGATGTCAACATCATCGTCGCTGTCCTCGTCGTCGGCGTCATCGTCAAAGATTCCGTCGGCGTCGTCGTTGTAGTCATCCTCGTCGTCATAATCATCCCAGTTATAGTCATCCAGGCCACCAGCAAATTCACTGAGGTCTTTCTGGAAGTCCGATTCCTCCCATACGATGTATCCCAGGGCATCATCAAGTTGTTCGTCGAATGAATCGCTATCGTCAGTGCCTGTAGGCAGGGATGTTGACGCAGCACTCGTCGTTGACGTGGCGCCTGAACCAGAGTATCCCTTGCTGGTTGTTGAAGATATTCCAACCGAGCCAGGATATCCTTTGCTGGTAGTGGAATGGCTTCCACCTGGACCCGTGTAGGACACTGTTGTTGACACACTTCCAGTCGGCCTAGTCGAGGAGTGCTGATAGGTACCCCACTCGAGGTCGAAACTCTCAGCCACATAGTTGAGATCCACGGGCTTCACGTTACAAGTGGCTGTAGATGTAGCAGAGTTGAATCTCACTGACGAGGTCAAATAATACACATAGTGGCCATCATCGGATCCCTCAGTGGTTGCGAGGACGAACCAAGTGCCATCAGCAGGCCATGATTTGGTTGCGTAGCTGTAGGCTTGTTGAGAGACAAAGACAACGGTCAATGACGATCCAGATACGGTAACTGTCACAAAGGCCGAATGGTCAAGCACGACAGTGGGATACTGAAAGGTTGTTCCAGCCGAAACGTAGAGAGACCCGGACGAGATACCAGAGTTGGGAGCACCCTGGGCAAAGAACAGATTCTTTGCGCTGCCCGGCCTCAGGTGCGAGAGATCTTGGTCATTGTGTGAAGGGCGGAAGCCAGGTGTCAAAGTGTGAATTGGTGCTGGAGCCGAAACAATTGCTGGACGCCCGCCAGAATTTCCAGAAGAGTATGACCATCCTCCAGGGGAACCACCAGACGAAGACCCACCCGCAGATGAACCGCCTGAGCCAGAATGGCCGCTGCTTTCCCAATCGCCCCAACCACTTGATCCTCCATTACCACCGAAGTGGCCCGAGGAAGAGCCATCTCCATGAGGGAGCCAGTCTCCCCAATGCACATCTGGTGCGCTGTGCGTGTACGTCGTACTCACTGAGGTTGTGCTCTTAGAAGTAGTGGTCGAAGTGGTCGTAGTGATTGTAGAGGTGGTCTTCTTGGTGGACGCGGTCCAGTCTCCCCACGAAGGGTCAGTCTTGACTGTGGAAGGTATAGCAGAGGTGGTCGCCGTCGTTGTGCTTGGAGTGGTCCATTCGTCCCAACCCGCTGGCGAAGCAGCTGCCAGGGAGAGAGTGAGGGCAGATACGAAGAGGTGCGCGGCCATATTGATGTTAGGGTAGTATCAGGTATAAACAAGAACAAAGAAAAAAGAGCGGTCGACCCGAATGGGGTCAGTAATGAGTGACTAGAAACAGCAAAAAGATCGAAAGCAACAGCACAAACGAAGGACTGGACTGGAGAGAAGTGCTCACCGTTCACACCTACCATCGTATGGGAGGTGTATGTTATATACAGAACCCCTAGAGCGAACAGAATTTTGAGTTTTGAGCGGGCATGTTCCTCACGCGCTCGACTTTTGGTGGAGTTTCGACTTGGACTCATTCAATGCCGGATTGGGATGGCAATCTGGAGCTCAGGTGAAGTCGACGAAGCCTCATAACAAGATGGCTTAGTCCATCTCGACCATCGAGATGCAAATAAGCCACGGGGCAAAGCTTTCGGCAAGATTGTGTATGGTTCGCTTGCTGCACGTGGCGGCGAAGGGTTCTCATTCTCGGCCTCGCCGAGTCATGCTAGGCTGCGGGCAGTACACTGGCGAGCCAATAGATCCAGTCATCGAATAGGAAAACAATACTGGGTGGACGTTTGAGGGGCTTCGAAGATTGGTAGGCCTTCCAGAAGTGGAAGCGCCAGGGGTGCTGCCTGACACAACGGGGAGCTACTGTCCTCATAGAAGCATAGTGAATGGCGGATAGACTAGCGAAAAGGAGATTGATGAACAGCCTTGCGTCGTGCGCACCTGCGCTGGGCTTGCGCGCCATGGTCGGTTGGCCGTGAGTTCACTTAGTCTCGGTCTGGACTTCTTGAATCCTCTGGCTGAGTCCAGACCGTGGATGGAGTGGGCCATAAGATGAGACAGTCGGTAAGCCACCAGTATTGTTGACATGCTTTTTCGGGATAAGCATTTTGCCTTGATGAGGTACAATGGACTGCGCACACTCTCGTCGAGATCTTCCGTGGAGGCAGCTGGAGACAGTTTCGAGCGGTGGGAGAAATGGCTGACGAGGTACACGAAGTTCTGGTGAAGTCGAAATAGGGCTAATCACAATGTCACGTGGCAATCGCGAACTGGCGTAAGCGAAAAAGGGGATTCAGCACGTGATGTGGCTGGCTGGCCTTTGCATCGAGAACAAGAAAACCGTTCAAGTGCCTCCACAAACAGAAAATGCCTAATGTCGCACCAACTACCGAGGCGCGCACCAAAAGTATTGTTAACGCTCAGAGAATGACGAGATGATCAAAAGACGATAGACTTTATTTTCGTTGCCCCTTACAACGGTCCCGGGAGATATCGGAGCTCAATACTTAACGCCTATAGCGCCTAGCGAGACTGGAAATATAGGTTAGGCGGCCGCCTATTAGATCTGACTTATAGCTAAGAGATAGGTAAGAGTGCCTACAAGCTCAGAAAATCTCCTTTCATAGTAAGTAATATGTGTCATTTGAACTAGCGTAAACAGTACTTTTGGTGCGCGCCCTCGTACCTCGTAGAAGTACCACCACTACCGAGTTCCGCTAACTCCTTACCAGCGGCCCTTAGTTTAGGTACAATTCAGCTTCAGCCTCTCACGCCTCCAAAGAATGAGTGCAGGGGTAAGGGGTAACCGACACCGCCTTCTGACCTATGAACAGAGTGAGAAAGAGGCATCGAAGGGTAGTGTCCACAGGAGCGGAGCAGGTGATACAATATGGCAAATTTGATATTGCCATCCAGCACACCCTCACGAATATTCTGTGCCTGTGGCTGATACAATGGTCTTGAGTTATCAACGAAATCTCGGCCAGTTGAGTGATTTTTCATGTACATGCGTGGTGGGCTGGCCCTTCTAAAAAGATCACAATCGCATGCCCAACATCTTCATTTCTCTATGGCGAGGTCTGCACCTTTCTTACACTAACACTTTTGTACACCCTACTTGAGCGTCCATGAGGCTGTCGGACGAAAGTGAAATACATTCACTCTCCTCCAATCAATGTCAGCAAACGTCCATCGACGCGGCCTATGGTTCGAGATCATACTGTGTGTCCTTCGCCTGGCCCTGAGCTGCTCGCTTCAGATGTCCTCGAAGAATTTCAAGCATGTCGATGACGTCTGATCACTCGCTCCCTACCAGTTACTGGTCACAAGTTCCGTCGCTGTGCTGGACGATGCCATAGAACATTCACCGAGGCCGTCTTGAAAGTCGACCGGCTATTCTTTCGTGAACAGATGGCATTGACAAAGGAGTGGATATTGTCTGCTCGGTTTCTTGAGGCCTCTGCACCTGTCATCAATAGTTTGGCTCTGCGATACATTTTCTCTCTGGCCGTCTGCAGGATGTGGGTGTATCACCTTCGTCTCAGCATACAAGGAAGTAGAGATAGAAAGCCTCCAACTGCAGGCCATTTGATTCTGGGAATGAGTATATCACCCGTGAAGAATTTCCTTTGTATTTTGGCCGGATATTCGCCTCGCTTTCCTTTCATTCGTATATTTACCTGTGGCTCTGCTCTATGGTTCACGGACGATGTCTTGTATGGTCCTAGAATTTTAAGAATAGCATGCATACTATGCCTTAAGTGCTCCTGAATCTCAAAACCTACCCTCGTCAGGACCAGCAGACTGACCCGGATAAGGTATTTTAAGGCCTGATTTTAGAATTTCCATTTTAGGTGAACGATATGTATTATTAACCCCCGGCTTGGGGCACCCCCTCCATGTCCCTGATGATCGTCCCATCTTATCCCCCACCTTTCACACCCGACACTGCGCGACAGACACAACTCACCCACCACTTTCAACAACACCCGATCAATCATTTGTATTCTTGCAGCAACACACTCGCTAAAAAATAATATTCATTACACCGAGTCTTGCTGTCCTATCCCTTCTCATCCGGGCCTCAACCCGAATCTCCTTCACGCCCGAACAAGGTTTCCAGAACGCCCAGGTCGTGCGGCTAAATAAAGATGCCGGCCGCATCACCTCAGACAGTGAGTCTTTATCTTGACCTAGATTACGCGGTCCAAGAATACGGACCCTGGAAGAGCAACAATCCCTTTACTCGAGTGTGATGTTTATTGCACTTTGGGACTGTCATTGCAACTCCCCTCTCCCCTCTCAGATGACCCCCAACTTCCTAGACGTCTCTGATCTAAGGATTTAACACAGGTCAAACTGAAATCGACCCTTCGCCTCCTCATCCCTCGTCTTCGCAATGCACAGAAGAAAGACACCGCGCTCTCCGTGTCGGCGCGCCGCGAAATGGCTGAACTGCTCGCCCAGTCTCGCGAGGCCTCCGCCCGCATACGTGTTGAGAACATCATCCACACCGACATCACTGTGGAGCTGATGGAGATTCTGGAACTCTACGCCGAACTACTCCTCGCCAGGGCAGGACTCTTGGATGTCAGGGACAAGAACATCAAAGAAGGCACGGCGCAGGCCAGCGATGACACCGGTCTAGAAGAGGCTGCAGCGAGTATCATCTACTCCGCACCCCGGCTGCCCCGGGATGTGAGGGAGTTGGGTATCGTGCGAAGCATGCTGATCGAGCGGTTCGGCAAGGAATTTGCGATCCGGGCGAACGAAAACGAAGACAACTGCGTGCCCGCTCGAGTAGTGGACAAGCTAAAAGTCGACCCACCCAGTGCGAAATTGGTCCAGGCATATCTCGAGGAGATCGCAAGGACTTACGGCGTTGACTGGCCTCCGCAAAGAGAAGAGGAGCAGGTCGAAGAATTGAGCAAGGAAGTTGATGGCGAAGATACTGGAGATGATGACGGCGTCGGTGGTGGTATGAAGGAGCCGCCTTTGCTAGCAGATGGAGGCCAACCAAACCCAACGACGCCATCACGGCCGAACAAAATCGATATTGGGTCTCTACAGAATGCTACACCGCCGTCAAGCTTGGAGCCTGGAGGTGCAAAGAGTCCCGTCTCCATAGCTCCCCCCGGCGCAACATCTGACAATTTAAGCCCAAAGGTCAAGTTGCCTGGTGGAGGAGAGATTAGGAAGGGATTCAACAATGCGAAACCCGTGCCATCCGCCGGGACTGCAAAATCAAAGAGTCCAGCTACCGGGGGAGGTGCTGGAGCAGTACCCGGAAATGTCCCGACGGTGGACGATCTGGCAAAGAGGTTTCAGGCGCTCAAGAGATGAAGATCAATCATCAGCGTGAAAATTGACATCGAAGGAGTTGAGAACCTAACAGTCTCTTCCATCTCTTCCTTTTAACGCAGAGTCGCTGCAGGTCGCACGACTTTTTTTGGCATCATCTCTCCCGTGTTCGTCCTCCGACTCGATTCACACGAACTCCATTCCCCAAATTGACTGGGGATCTATTCAATGAGACCATATACTCTTCAGACTGAACACACTTTCCCCCACGACATAGGGTGGTCGTCTCCCACATGGAGACTTCAGCTTCCGGTCTCCATCCTGTCGTTTTGTGAATTTTTGCAGCCAGTCACTGCATGGTGTACGGCTGCTGAGCTTGTATGGGGGTTGTGTCCAGAGATTCCTGGTGGGCGAGGCGTCATTCCAGTCATGCCCAGAACGCTGTACTGCTCTTTCGGTTATCGCTACCTCTTAGACAGTGCTCATATATTGCAACCGTTATTGCGGCCTCGGGAACCGGGAGGGCAAATGAAATGCACAAATTTCCGCCGCATATGACTCACAGTCCACCTTCAGAAGCGTACACGAGAGATGCAGCATGACCCCAGCCGCAGGGGCTAGCCGGGGAGTACATTGCAGTTTGCTGACACGTTCCTTGTGTTTCATCCTTTCCTCTGGGATGTATTCCTTCACTCCAACTTATCCAAATGTTCAAGTCTCGTCAAGACGACCTGTTTGCTCGTCTCCTCGATCTCGCCGGCTAAGAAGACCTCGTCGAGAATGGCATAAACCTTGTAGAAGTTGAACACAAGATCCAATTCGCAGACATTGCCGAAAAATTGGTCCAAAACCTCGACGAAGAAGTGAATGGCTTCGAGGTAGGCGAGCTCGTTGTCGTTTGCGTCGACACAGACGCAGAAGAAGAGGCCTGCGTACCGACGGTACACAATCTTTGTCGACGATAGGTTCTGACGGACAAGGGGTTGGGCGTGGGATGTGGAGGCGGACGACGAGGGCGCGGATCGGAACTCGACGAAGTTCGATTGGTATTTCTGATCACGAGGGGCAATGAGACGATGGACCTGCGGGCCGTTCGGACAGTCAATCTACAAAGTTTTCTTGGATAGAACGAATTGCTTTGGATTACAGGGGGTAGATTGAACGTCATCTTACCTCGCCCTTCAGTTTCACTTTCTCTTCGTCGGTGTAGGGAGCGTACCACTTGGCGAGTCTCGTCTTGCCCTGGCGATTCTGCACAAGAATGAAGGAGAGCACCATGTTTGGTATGGAGACGCAGATAACTTCGGAAGACAGTGGTTGAAGATCAACGAATAATGCCGGTGATAGAGTGTTGTCACCTTTGGCAATGTTACCCCCATAATATGTCCACCGAGTTGCCCGATGCCGAGTCCGCGTGAGATTGGACTTTCCCATTTTAGTGACAAGTCACCCCGCAGCGATCTTCGACTCCAACATTGACTGGACTTCAGAGTGATTGCGCCGTGACCCTCTACGCTTCCTCTCTATCTGCACGTCTGCAAGAGTCAAATTCCAATCAATAAACCCTCTCGTCACTACTCATTGGACAGCATACTTCCGGGGAAGCGCGGGTTACGACGTACAGGCAGACGACCATGAGCAAAGTGTCACGGCAAACGTACAGCCAGAGGGCGTTTACTTTTGTTTCGGTTTGTCCCAGAATTTGGCCAGGCGAAATGCGGATGAATGAGGCAATATATCGAGAGTATAATATATCTGTCTTTCCCCAGAGCTCTTCTGATCCTCTGGCTTTCCATTACCGATCCTATACGACATATCGATCTGCACTCAGACAACAGTTTCAATTCTGCATCAAGTTCGCCACCAACTGTACAGGCAACGACGAACCTGAATCCATAGACGAGCTCAATACCTTCAAATCCTAAGATGCTGAAGTCTCTCCGGACAGCTGTCCATGAAATACTTGAGGTGGACAAAGAAATCGTGTATGGTGACCGTCCCGGAATTGGCCCTGTCCATACCGGCTCCTCTGGATCCAACGCTGGGCTTGTGTCCTTTCCACAAGCTCCGGACAACTCGAAGCACGAGTATGTTGTGCATTTGCGAGGGGGAATCACTAGCGAGGGCTGGGAGAAGTCCGACGGGTGGTGCAGATGCTGCGTCGTGATGTGAATGACATGGGGGGCTTGGTTTGTGGGGCGCTGTCGCATGACACAGGGCATAATGTGAAGTTCGGCGGAGGGGTTTCTGCGGCTTCTGTGTCATGCATAGCCGCTGTCCCTTGAGTATAGCGAGAGGAGACAAGCACGGGGCTCGTGTTCCTGCCTCTCGCTTGAGGAAACTGACGACTCTCTTTCTTTGCATCACACACAAAACAGCAATTGTTGAGGTCCCGGAAAGACACTAGCAAAGAGGTAACATTGTACCTTGGTGCGCAAAACCCCATGTGGTTGTACATTGAAACTGCTTCCGATCCTCACTCGGCACATGCATGAACAAGAGAACTCCTCCAACGCCGGGATCGGATGATCTGCCACCTCAATATCAAAGGCCCATCCGGCAATACTGGTAAATGCCGGAGGCAAAAGCCGTGTAACCCATCTTCCTTCCTCTTAACCCAACAATGAATTCATGGCCTTGTGCGCCAACTCGACTCCCAGGAACGTAGCTGCATTCGCCGGAACAGCCCTTGCCAACGCCGGTCCAAAGCCTGGGAAGAAGGCTTTGATACCACCACTTCTATACACCTGCGAGACAACACCGCCGATGGTCGGTTTTCCCTCCGCGGTCTGGATCCTGCTTTTGATGGTGTCGACGGGGAAGACGGGAATCCACATGGCCACGCCTGCACAGCCTCCAGCGGTCATGACAGCCGTCAGACTTAGTTCCCCTGTGGCATTGCCGTCGGCATCTTTGGGGGACAGGTTGCGTTTGACATACTCGTAGACCGCAAAGTACGCAGCCGAACCTGGGCCATCTCTGGCGAGAGTCATCGCGCTACCCCTGAACACGGATCTAATACCTCCTTCCTTGTACAGCTGTCTCACAACGTCCAGCCCGCCAGAGTACTTGGGTTTCTCCCCTGGCGCGAGTTGTTTCTGACCTTGAATCTGCAGGAGAACTTTGACACGCTCAAACGGTGCGGTGATGAGCGTCATGGGTATAGCTGAAAAGAAACCCGCGGCGGAGATTTGCCCAATTGAGTATTGAGGAGTATTGTTTTTGACGGGCACCGTAGAGAATGTATCCACGAGCCGTTTCCCCATGTCATATCCCCAGAAGCTGACGGCAAACATGGGCGTCACACCGACCAAGGGAGCGGAGACGCCTGCATAGAGGCCCCTCGCTAATCCCTCCCGAGCAATGGTCTTCTTCACCACATCGATGGCGCCCGAATAGACCCCCTTCTCCGCGGTCTGTAGGCGGACTTTGACCAAATCGAAAGGGTGCCCCACGACGACAGCGCACACGCCTCCTACTCCGCCGGCGACGAGAGACCGTAGACCGGAGACTGCGCCTTTAGCGTTCTCTTTAACTTGCTCTTTAACCTCCTCCGTGGAAGGGAGTTCGTCTATTGACGTTGGAACCGTGGCTGGAGCCATTGAGGAGACAGGATGGGAAAGAGATGAGGAAGAGAGTTCGGTGGTCCTAACGAAGGGTATGGAAGAGCTCGGATTTTCGTCTGTACCTTTATTGTTCTTGGTTGCGATGTGGCAGAAGGCAACGGACGGACGGAGCGATGAAGGGATCAACTGCGAGCCTAGAGGCTTGTCGGAGGGGTTGGCACAGTCGCGTCAGGACGAGAGGGCACTCGTTTTAGCTATGTGATATCATGGCAGGACGTCTGAATTCAAGGTCGGAGGGCTGGTCTCTAAAGCTCAGGATATAAATTATTTCCGTGGAAGAAGTTTGCACAAAATTTTGTTAGAGAACGCGGGACACGTCGCATGCTCTCTCTGCAATCTTTGAATCGCCGAACTCACAAGCTTGTGATGGAGCCAAAACCCACAAATTCCCGGTGGTTGACAGCCGAGGTCCGGGCTAGATTCGTTTGCCTCGCAGCGCAAGTGCCTTCGAGCCGTGGAGGAAATGATCTGGAGGCCCCTCGGATGCCCCGAAATGTTTTCGTTTACCATCAGCATGCACTGGACGAATCTCGGTGTCCGGATGCACGGCGTATACATTCTTCATCTGGCTTCTCTAGGCATGTGTGGGTATGTACGATGTACAACTTTCCAAATAGACAACCGTTACAATGATATAGTACTCCAGGTTCCTCGAGCCCAATTTGCCAGCTCCTCTCCCTCTTCCCATAGTATACAAAGATTTCATGCGACGACCAAGCAATAAGCGAGTCTGAACCCCGTGCAGGAAATCCTGTTTCCCTGGAATTTTGTCCCTTACTGATGAGAACGGGCGATCCCGTGGACGGCCTTCATCATCTCGCCCAACTTATCCCCGAACAGGATGTGAGATTCAACGACCAGAACAATGGTGAAGAGGAGCCAGCAAGCAAGGAAGATAAGTGTCACCTTTGCCATCAAGCGCAGGAGCCGCATTCGGCTCTCCCAGGGGAAACTTCTCCATGCCTCGACCAATCCGATCTTACCCTGTCCACCAATAATAGCAGGAGTAGTCTTCCCGCCAAAAGTGCGGTCAAATGGGACGATGGTTTCATCCTCCTCGGGAAGCATGGACGCTGCAACCCGGACCACGGTAACAGTAGCAGGAATCTGGAGGAGTACATATAGAGCAACCATAAGAGAAAACCCAAGGACTCCCTGGGCGCCCACGGCGTAAAGATCTTTGCGGCCTGGCTCATAATCCGGATCATTCATATGCTTGAGCGACCCAAATGAACCACAGACCAACATGGGTAGAACGGATACGGCCTGGTGAGCAGTGGCCCACAAGGCGACAGCTGGTGCAATTTTGGGCCAGGTTCGCAGAGAAGGAATTCGTTTGTACCATCTCTTCTCGCTGGGCTCAGAAATGGCAATGTGGACCCAAGCCATATTGAAAGTAGCAAGAGCGGTTTCAGCAACAATAGCAGCCAAGGCCAATCCCAGCCGATTAGGAAAGATGTTTGCCAGGATGGAAATGAGGATACCGGCGGTTACATTCCAGACGAGGAACATCGACAAGCCGCGGAATCGAGACCAATAGCCGGCTCGAGCGCGCAGGTGCAGAATTGTCTGGCGAATCGAGGCTGTAAACGGCTTATTGCGGACGAGAAGAACTTCAGCATCACCATCGGTGTCGTCTTCGAGGTCATCGGGTTGTCTGTGTGTAGGTTTGGGCGCAGGAGTAGCAGTATAAGCGGGAGGATCTGTTGGATCGATAGTGCCGACAGGGACGTAGGCTTCGGTTTCGGGGCTCTCAACCATACACAGGATGGGTAGTAAATGGCCGTATGTATAACCAACCTGCGGGTCCGGTTAGTGAGTCTCTTTGGACAGCAGCTGGTGGGGGACAGATCCCTACAGAGAATAAAAGGACAATGAAAGCCAGACTGGAAAAGACAAAGATCATGGCAGCAAGAGGTGAGATTCGAGGAGTTTCATCTCCAGCTGGCTGGTCCGAATTCCCCGCAGCTGCAACCATCCCATGATGAGCGGCTTCTATGCCACGACGGACCAGGTGGGTAGATAGACTCATGATGAGAAGCAATGTGAGGAAAGAGAAGACAAGTAACAATGTGCGAGGAGGAAGAAAGACAGAGGGATAAAGAACAAGACCGAGTTGTCGACGTCCGATGGCGCTCTTTATTTGGGGAATGGACGGAGTGTCGAGGGTGAAACAAACGGATGGATCAGGCATTCCGCCATCGCCGAAGCCAGCAAATCAGCGTCGCTACCTTGTAGGCTGCCGCGTTTTCCAACAAAACTGACCAGGTTTGTACTTACGCACTGCCTCAGGGGCGTGGTCTGCAACGGGCCTTTCTTACACATATAGACAAAGTTCTCCGTCCTCTTTACACAACCGGCGAAATAACTGACCGAGTCCCATCTCAGAATGCGTAGCCACTTCACCAGATCCTCCTTGTCAATGGGTTCCGCTACAAAGGGTTTTGTATTCCCCTCACCCCTCAGCCAGACCTTCAAGAGGGTGGCATGCTGTCCCAGAGAAAGTGAAACACACATGAGATGAAACAAGGTGCTGACAAGCCTAGAATACGCTGTATTGCGTGGCCCAGGTCGCTATGGGCAAATAATGCGAGCGCTTCGTGGAGGCAACGGAGCTGTTCGATGTCCACGGCACTTGATCATAGCTGAAAG